TGGGTGCAGAGGTTCAGGCACAAGCTGCAGCCCCGTGTCAACGCGCATCCCTAGAGCATCCCAGGAGCTGACATCCTGACAGCAATCTGCCTTCCAGCACACTTCTGTTTCTGCCTAGTGCACAGGCCTGGGGTCTTCTCCCTCTTTATAGCATTGGAAGAAAAGAGGTTGAGTTATCCAGGGCTTTGTGATTAATTTTTTTAAGTCAGATATATTTTGCCTGCTTCAGTAAACAGCAAGTTTCCATTCCTGTGTCCTTCACAAAAGACTGTTGCCACTGGGAGTATAATTACCTAGTTCCTCCTCTCAGTCCTAAACCAAAAGGTTTTTGTATAATGCTGAAGTGCAAAGAAAGATCAAGGGAATACTCAGGGTTCCCTGGGAACACTTCAGTGCAAGGCTTATCAGCAGCTCCTTATCACTGCTAATCTGACAACACAGGTGTGATGGGATGCCCCAGCTGGGACGGATCTCTGGTAATTTGATCAGGAGTAACTCTTTGTGTGCTGCTGGACACCAGTGTACTCCTTACCAGTTGAAGAAAGGAAAAAATTCAGCCTGACTGAGTGGTGCTGGTACCCTGAGGGGTGTGGTGGGGAGAGCTTGGCTGTCTGTGGGTGTGCAACTCCCAACCATTGCACAACACCACAGACATGTTCCCTGGAGGGGGGAGTGGGCAGGTAATTACAGAATGGGTGTTCAGGAGGAAAAGGCATTTCATATCCCATGTTGCTCATTTTAATAATACAGACGACTCATTGTGAAACTCCTTTCTTAGAAAAGCATTAACACTCTGACCCATGTCCTCATGGCAGTGGTTGTCTGTGCCTTCCTACTGCTCCAGCAAAAGGTCCCTGTCCCCTTGGTGGCCTGGGCTTGTCCCCAGGGCTGGGTCAGCGAAATTCGTGGCTGAAAGGGTCAATGTCTGGCTGGAGCCAGGGTCACAAAGCAGAGTTGCTCTTCCTGAGCTCACCCTGAAACACCACATAAAGATGTAGATATCGATGCACTGTCAATTCAGCTTCTCTAAGAGGAGGGTGGACCAGATCTCTGCCACCTTCCTCATCCCAACTCCCACAGGGGCCCTGCAAGTGTGCCTTGGGTCCCACTCCCTGAAGGGAGGAGGCAGCATTCCCAAACGTTGTCTTGAACACTGAACTGAAGCTGCAGAAGAGCTAAAAGTATTTTTGGGAAGACCTGTGTTGAGCTATCATAGTCCTGCTGCTCCAAAGGATTTTTCAGCGAGGAAATAGTATTTCAGGTAGAAAGCTGCAAGAAATCCTTCAGCGCTCTACTCTTTTTTACAGTAATTTGTATGGAAAAATGGCTCAACTATGACAAAACCACTTGAATTCTGATTAAGCCTGTTTAGAAGTAAAAGATCACAGCATATGGAAAGATTTTTTTGGAACGGGAGGGACACACAAGCAGATGACAATGAAAAAAACCTATGTGTGGCTGATGGATGACGTGAGGGGTTTGAGTATCAGTGCCATTCTCCTGTGCATTGTGTATAGCTTCAGCCTTTCCTTCCTGATGTCAGCAGATAAAGGCTGTAAAAACACTGCTTTTATCTGCCTGTATCACAGAATTCTTTTTCCTTTGGACATCATCTGACTATGCTGGGGTCTCATCAAACCCTCATTACCTGCTGCTCCTAGGAATGGATCTGTCCTAACTGCCAGTCAGTCAATGGGCACAAGGGATGGCAGAAAGATTTTGGAACAAGCAGACGTCATGTTAGTTCCATGCACAAGTCCTTGTGGATGCATCCCATAGGCATCCCACAGGCATACGAAAATGCCACTTCACTTCCTCTTTTTGGCTATAGACAAGAAAATGTGATGTCCTCTTACTAACCAAAAGTCAAGAGATTATCAGTGTAAATCCAGGGGGTAAAGAAGAGCAAAAGGGGAAATCCAGAGAGTGGTACAAAGGCTATCAAAATTCAATGCCACCAAAATGTGCATTGCCACAGTTCATGTTATGCTTTACATAATTCTCCACTCAAGATGATTTTCTTTGCTCTGCAGTTTGGGGCATAGCTTTGGCCATGCCTAACACTGGGCCTTGCTCACCAGGTGACACTTCAAGAGCCTGTGATTGACACACTGAGCTGGTTGTGAAGAGCACACCCAATGCTGGTCACCACTGGTGGGAGGAGCTGCATGCCAAGGAGGTGGAGAGGTGTGGATAGATTCTGAATTTAAGGTCTTCCCCATGTACAACTGATGCCATGCTTTCACTTCATCTGAGTGATGCATATTTAGTTCTCAAAGTATGACAAAAACCAGTCTGAGACTACAAATGGTGGCTGTGGCTTTGACAAATACTGCAGGCCAAATTCATTAGTGAGCCTTCAGAGAGAATTTTGTTCTCCCATCATAAGTAAACAAAGAAATAACACTGTCTGTCATCTCATTTCAGAATGTACCTGCTGGTTCTGGGGCTAATTACCATGTTCCTTCTGTGATGGAAAATAGCCCTACAGCATCTTAACTGTAAAATTTGGTTTTCAGGAAAGAACAGTTTTCTAAGGATTTAAAAATGTGTTTCATTCTTACTGAGTAATTGGTTTATATTTGGATATAAATAAATGAGAAGCAAGTATTCTATCTATTTCATAGCATTTAATGTACAATCATTTATACAGTGGGGCCATACTCATAATGTTTCTTTTATGCTATTAAAAATATTGATAAAACAGTAGACATTCATTAGTTACACCATTTCCAAGAGCACAGAAGGATGAACAAATGTGTTTTCATTATAAGAGGTAATAATAATTAAGAGTGACAGAACCTTATCCTCATGATCTGCCTCCCAGCAGCAGTTTGGCTAATAAAAACCCAGAAGTTAAGATAAGGCAGCAATTATTAAGACAAATCTTCTGAAGGGCTGTTTGAACTCCTGTGTCCAGCAGATAATCTGATTTTACAAGGTGCTCTGAGCGGGGGTAGGCTGCATGAGAAGCAGTACCCAGGTGCAGGCCTTTAGCCCTTTGCACTGGCATTTTTACCTCTAGCGATTTCCCTGGTCTCTTCTTCTTTTGTTTGCTACAGCTGTGGCACATAAATCAGTCTCCATTCTGTCTCACTGACACCAAAGAGAAACACGGCACAAACAATGCACAGCACCAAGCCCCAAATGTATTAATCATCTTTTTCTCTCTTCTTTTTTTTTTGCTTATCCCTTTCACCTGTCTTTTTTGGGAAATTCAAAAATGGCTATGGGCAACTCAGTAATTCTTCCCTCATAAATATTAGATGCACATGGAGCATGAATATTTGAGTAGCTAACTCTGACTTAGGTGAAACTGATTGCTAATAGCAATTCATTTTTTCTCAGTGACATTCCACCAATAACCAGCATGAGTGGGACAGGATGATGCAGGTTGGAGCTGGACAGTAAAAGGGAATAAAAGTGCCAACTGGGAGCTTTATCGATCTGGCCCTCAGGTGGGACTTGGGTCTGTGCCTTCCTCCTTACCTTGGAGAAAGGTTGAGCAGGGAGATCTCTGCTCAGCAGCTATGTGTGGATCTTTAGGAACCAAATAGGGGAAAGAAATTTTAAACTGATTTTTATTATGTCATCAAGCTGCTGCCTCTCAATGTGTTATGCCCTGTGCAGTGTCACCTGTGTGATGTGCAAACTGCAGTGGGAGAGACCCAGTGGGTCCCAGCACCCTCTACTTTGGATATACCACGTCCCTACTGTTGGGCAAGGCTGTTGGGGCCTTCCAATATCTTGTTTCTCAAGGCAGGTGAACCCACCCTGCTGCACAAGGGCTGCAGGGATGTACTGAAATGGTGTGGGGGGTGGAAACGGGGCTGTCCCATTTGGTGACACCAGGTCATCTGTAAAATTGTGTGCTTTGATCTTTAATAAAAAGTAGAAATTGTGATTTTATGCCTGAGGCGTAGAAAAGAAATGTAGTGTCTCTGGACCTAGGGAAGCACAATGAGCAATCAGGTGTGACCAGCTCAAACCTCAGTTGAAGTTCATGCTTACATGGCCCAAGGGACACCAGTGCATACCTATCATTTTATATTGGTCCCAAATTTACCATTACTAGATAGATACTTTATAATCCATTGCTAATACTTACACACATTTGTCTGTTCTAGCATGGGGCTACCCTTGCACGTGCTTTGGACAGGAAAAATCCCACTGGGTCTCTGAAATCACCACGGTACAGCTCCTCTGTCAGGGCTGGCTGTTTGGGTTGGCTCCCTGTCTCCACCACGGCTGGCTGGAGGAGTCTGTCCCCATCCCTACAGAACAGTTCTCAACTTGCAGAGGACAAAGACCAGTTCGAACAGAGCCTCTGCCACTGCCCTTGCTGTGTCCTTCGCCAGGCAGCCTGGGCTCCAGTCCCACCAGCAAAACCAATAGGGCAGCACTCAGCCATCCCCATCCCTGGGCTCTCCTGCCTGTGAGAACACTGGTGCCAGCCCCAGGACACAAGCGAACACGCTCTCAGTCTGCAAAAGCAAAGAAAAAACTTCACACTGAGAGAAAAGCCCACTTAGTTTACAGGTTGCTTTTATTTACAAATATACTGAAGTGTAATCTCTCTTTTTTTTCTTTTTCTGCTTTTGTTTAGAGAGTGTGTGTGTGTGCACACGTGTGTACACGTGCACATGCACGTGGGAAGGAACACAATGGATCTTAGCTCCAGGCAATGGTGGCAGGAAGAAAAATGCAGTGAAATGAAATTTAAAAACACTAATAAATAATTTAATAATGACAAATAATTAAATTAAAAAAAATTCCAATCTACATACATTATGGTGGTTTGTTTCCAACACAAAGGGAAAGGAGCAGCGAATCTACAGTGAAAGGAGCTGGTTAAATATGAGAGAGCATAGTCGTATTTTTTACAAGTTAAACAAATTGTAACAGACAGCTACAAAATACTACATTTCTATAACATAAATACAGAATATATAAATATACAAGTAATACAGCCATACACAGCTAAAAAACAGGGTGTTCACTTAAAAACAGAGTTCCCAATGCAAGGTATCCGGTAGCCCCTTCACAGCTGCTGCTGAGTAGAACCAGGGTGCGCTGAGCCAAGGGTATCCGGCTGCAGACGCGAGGAGGGAAACAGCCATCAGTGTAGTCAGATCAGCCTTAGAGGAGCAAGACCATGCTGAAAGCCCACCAAAGCCAAAAGACTTCATATGTCTTGTGACCAAGTACCTCCCTAACTGAGGAGCACAGCTGCCCAAAGCTCTGGCTACAGCTTCCCTGTGCCTCCAGGCCAAAGAAGAGGGGCTCTGGAGGAACCTGCATGCACAGAGAAAAGCTGCTGGTCAGAAAGGCGTGAGGTGGTTTGGGCATGGGGTTGTGTAAAGCACAATCTGGAGCACTGAGACTCTGGGTACTGTGGCTCCAGCTCCCACAGCCATGTCGTGCTTCAGCAGGCTCTGTCCTTTCACTGCTGTGACTAAGCTCCAGGCTTGTGAGAACTCTTCCCTTCCTCACAATTCTACTGTGCATTTCTAGTGACTTTCAGGGACAACTACAGTTCTTATGACAGGGTTCATGGAAGTGCTCTCTCAAACCCTAGCTCACAGCATCCCAGCAGCATCCCAGAGCCGACTTCCCTGGGACAACTGGGGCGGTGGCTTGGGATATACTTCTGACTCTTAAGGAAAGTGGAAAGGAGTCCTGAGCTCAGTAAGAAGAGGTAAGTGAGTTTACATCATCCCTGGAAGGTTTACTGTCATGAAGGACCTTCCCCATGCCATGATGTACAGCGAGGTGGCTGAGCAATGACCCTTCAAAGGAGCTGGTAATGCTCATCCATCTTCTGCAGGACGGGTCTGAAAAATCCACTCAGCAGCTGCTGTGCAACTAACGTGAGCCTCACCTTAGGTATAGTTAGCTGCAACTGGGCCAAGTGATATGGATGTTTTTGACGACAGAGTTTAAAGAAGAAAAGGAGTTCAAAATGCCCAGGATGGTGTTTCAATATAAGTGGTTGCAACCACCACCCTTTACTTACAATGACATAATTGTGTTCCATGTCATGACTGTTAAACACATTTGCCACCACCAGCCCCAGGGTTTGCCCCACAGTGTGGTGGTAACGGGGGGATGAGAACAGCAGGAATCATCCCCTCCACAGCCAACCATGCCAGAGAAGGTGCTGCTGCTCAGCCCAGAGCCTGGCTGGGACCCAGGACCACACAGCTCAGTAACCCCTCCTGAATGCTGGGAACAATCTGTCTGCCACCATCACAGACCTGCAGCTGCACAATAAGGACCTCTGAGGAAGTTGGTACCCAGCATTCTGATCTCACAATCATCTTTTTTATGCATTATTGAGCAAACACTGAAACCTAATCAATCATCTTTTACTTAATTGCATCTTGTCACCACTTTAGCTGCACAAGTATTCTTTGATTAGCTAAAACAACATGATCGAAATGCTGTGAAGAGCTCACTTGATGCATTTGTATTAGAGAGGGGTTAATTTCCTAGGGAAAATGATCACTGTAAGGTGCATGTAATAAACTGCTGTCATGACCTCTAGCTTTCGAGCTCCCATATGTGCAATCATTGTTTGTGGTTTCCGTGGAAGTGCCAGATGCTAAGAATTTTTTGGCTAGAGTTTATCAATTTGACTCAATGTAAGATATTACTGTGATATGGCCCACTAAACGTTTTACTTTCACCTGATCGGGGACATTCCCTTGACAATAAAAGAGTAGAGCAGAAATCAAAAAGGTCAGAGGTTGCTGTATAATCTTTTACTGCAGGTCCCAGGTTAAAACCACAATGATCACACTCCAGTAGAGTAATTTATTCTACAAAAAGGAAGTGACATTTATTTTGCTTTAATGAACTTTGGCCTTTGCCAGCTACAACAGGCCCACTGGAAATCCTTGGCTATGTATGCCTTCCCTGGACCAGCAGCAGCTGCCCACCATGGCACAGGAAATGTTACACATGGCAAGGGTCTGACTGGGCTGCGTGTGTGGCTCCAAATGTGGCAGAACATGGGGCAACAAACAGCTAAGGCATCACCATACAACACACCAAGGGATAGGAGATGATATGTACAAGAAATGAAAAGGAAAAAAAAAAGGTGGAAAACGTCATCCAAGCCATCCAAAATCAGCAAATTATTATGGTTACTTCATCTATAAAATGGGATATCTGATTTTTTCCTTGGAGATGGATTGTTTTTTCAACATCCAACCCAAACGCAGAGGTAGAGTTGGGACAAGGCAGTTCTCCAAACTGTAGGTCACATTAGAGTTCTCATATAAGTCCCTGTAAACCCTAAAAATGCCATTTTGATCCTGTCAGTAATGAAATATGAAGCAAAGTTGTGCCTGTGTGAGTAGTCTATAAACTGGTATGTCTGAGAGGGTGAAGACACTTTTCTGTGACTCTAACGTAGCACAGCAGAGGGATAAGGAGGGAAACGATGAATCCATTGTGGTGGTGACAAATGTTTATATGTGCCATATGAAACCTGCTTGCCTTCTGCCCTGCAAGCAGTGAGGATCACCTGAGTTCTTTATAGATGTTTGTTTTCATGCAGAGAGAAAGGAAATTGTTGTTTATTTTGATACATAAGGAAAGGGAAAAATAATTGAGTGGGATGGGCAAGAAAAGAAGATCCTTTCAATTTCAAAATATATCCAGGGGCTCACAACCCTCAAATGAAAACCACATCCCCGCCAGAAAGCAGGGAATGGCCTCTAGACAAAGCATATGGATGTGATGGATCACCTCCCTGGGGAAAACAGCAATGGAAACCAGCAGGGACAGGGACAGGAGCGTCCCCAGCACCCTGGCAGAGTCACCAGTCCCTTCCCTGACCAAGGCTGTGTGCGGCAGGCAGTGGAAGGGCTTGCCTTGGGCTGTGCTCTGCGCCTCTGCGCCATTCACACACACACACACACACAGGGCCTCCTCAACGGTGTTGTCCTTCTCTCCAGAGTGAGAACCAACGTGCTTATCCTGCAGATAAAACTTAACTTTCTCAACAAACCTCCAACATACTCGGTACACTTTTCCCTGCTGGGGGAAAACGATCTCATGTTTTTCCTTGGACCCATCATCCTACCCTTCCCACCCATGCCTCCGGGACACCCAGAGGACCTGTCTCCATCAGTGATGCGGGGTTCCCAGCAGGATCATCCCCCCAAGGCCAAGGACACAGTGCCACAAGCAACGCTCCTCCCGTCCTGGGTGCCAAGGCTGCAGGGGTCCTGCTCTGGCCTCCCCCTCCAAGGCAGTCCCAGAGTCCCACTCTCCCAGAGAAGGTGCTGAGCCCCACAGGGACACTGCAGTGCTGGCCTGGTACCAGTCCTGAAGGAGTTAGATTAACCAAAGCTTTGGACTTGTTTTTCAGCTATTATGGTCAATATATTAAAGGTATTTATTTAAGAAAGTGCCTATCCTGCCAATCTTTCCCCGTGAGCTCTATTTTGAACACACCCTATAATTACTGATATTACCCTGGCAAATTCTCCCCATGAAGTTTTCTCCACTGAGAGCCATGACTGTACTTGTCTGCCTCTCCACATTATAATTATCACCAGGCAATATTTATAGCTATACTATTATTATTTATGATATTTTATGCCCTACGAAAATCTATATGACATATGCTCAAACTTCAACATCAGAGACAATCAGACTTCAGCCGGGACATCCCCTCCTTCAGCATACCTGTTCTTCTGGCGCTGGCACTGACCGGTTGATTGGAGCCACAGCCAGGAGTCCTGGTAGCAGGAGGATCTGCAGGACTTGGTTAGACTCCAGCTCAACATACCTGAACTTCCCACCATGAGCTCTTTCATACTTTCCTGTTCGCAGCTGGTGCACATTTCAGGACTTCTGGTGTTTCAGGCTAGAACTGTGTATCCTCGATTCTTGCTGAGGCAAGATAATTAACTAAAGGAGTGCTTAATTATTCCAGATGGACAATAGAGTACAGCATGTTTATGCCTCATGCAAAACATAAATAAACAGAACAGAATGAATAAACACTTGTCTGGCTGTTGTGGCCTAGACTTGAAATTTGGCACTGCAAAACTTACAAACAAATGTAAATGTTTTAATCTCACACTAAAAAAAAAAAAATAATAAACAAAACTGTCTCGCAAGCACCCTTAGTTTTAATTATTTAAGATCAACACTAACCTACATGCCTCTGTCCCTAATGTGCGTGTCCTCTCCAGAGTCATAGACCTTTCTTATTCTGAAATCACTGGCTTTCTCCACAAATACTGTTAACCAGTTTCCTCAGTATCATATGCATAAGGGCTATAAACTAATGAGCAGATCTAGGTTATGTAGAAAAAGCGTAGAAAGGAAACAAATGTTGAACATCACATTTACATTAACTTCCCACAGTTCAAATGGCAATTTATCCACAACATAGTATGAATCATGCAGTAAGAAAAGGGAGGAATCTCCAGTTTCTTTGATTTATTTGTCATATGGTCAACTGATGTCAGTATCAGCAGCTTTAAAAAAAAAAAAAGTTTAAACATCCAAAAGAAAGGAAGAGAGAAAGGAGGAAAAGGTCTAGCTTTCCACAAAATCCATTTCCTTTAGGATGACGAGCTCAAACCAAACCAAATCAAAGGCTGAGGACGAGCAGGTTCTTCTGTTCCTTCCATGCTTGTCTCGTGGTCTGGTGCAGGCTGGGAATCAAGGGTATGGGACGGGTGGATGTGTTTTGTTTCTCTATATATGTATGTAGGTAGGTAGGTATTAAAGTATATATACATACATACACATATATGCAAACAGAGACAGTCTTCCTAAAAAAATGCTCTTTGCAGTCCAGAGGCAGCAGAGTCACTGTGAAGGAAGAGCTGAGCAACATATGGCTGTAGAGTCTGCACTGGAAAAGTCACTGGCTAAACACACGCCGGCTGTTTGTTTTCTTATTTTCATGAGGCGAAATAGGAGCTCTGCATAGAGTACAGCCTGTCAATGGGGTTTCCTACTCTAGCCTGCATGGAGTTAACTTCAGAAGAGGCAAGAAAACAGTCGCTCAAGCTAGTTAAAGAGGTATCACTGTCGATATCATGAAAAATGGAGTCATTTCCTGCAAATGAAACGTACATGTTAAGCTGGATGCTGTGCAGCCAGGGGAGTACACAGTACTCATGGATGCTCACATGCTGCAGCAAATGGGAATGCTCCTAGTTCTCTTATCACATGTTAACTTTATGACATGTACTTTGGCTCTAAGGGTCTGACCTATGATGATGGGGACTAAAAATCAACCCATGGGGGGGTCAGCTGGCAGCAGTGCCCCCCAAAACCTGCCAGGATTTAATTAAGGATTCAGTCACCAGCACAAAAGGTAGTCTTGGCTGACGATGAAAGCAAACAGTGCTGGGGAGGAGCAGGTGCCCAGCTCTCCAAGGGCTGGGATATGGTACTTGTGGGGACACCAGGGCTGTTGAGGAAGGTGGGACCAGATATCAAGTGCCCGTGACAGGGAAGCATGGTCTAAGAGCCATAGTCATAGTGGTCTTCATTTACACACAAGGCAAAAAACCAGTTCTACCAATGTAACAGGAACCAGGAGGAGACCCAGCTTCCCTGGCCTCAAGTGAGCTACAATTGTAAACATGCTCTCGTTTTAGAAAATTTCACTCTTTCAGGGCTGGTTTGGAACAGCACCTTTTATTTCCCTTAGCAACTAAGATTTCAGCTTACTTCAACTTTGAAGGTATCAGATAAAACCTCTAGCTCAAGCGCTGGAGGCTTTAACAAAATGTTAGTCTGGTTCTTTTTCCTCACACACTTGTTTGAAAGGGCTTTCTGCCATCCTCTGCACTCCTTTCAGAGCACAGAACTTGCCTCCCAAGAAAGCCCAGCAAACCAACAAAATCACAAGCCACCTATAATGCTTGAGGGCACTTTGTATGTCCTCAGCTCCTTACAGGACCTCTCAGATTTCCTTGTGTGCAGCACTGACTTGTCTCAGTGGCCAAAGTACTGACACAGACCCAAAGCAGATTTCCTGTTGGCCTGTGCATGCTGTGCTTGTGACAGTGATGCACATGTGAGCCTCTACAGTGAAGTGTCCTGGTCAGCAGAAAAGTCAGAAACGGGCCCTTTTGGGCTACTGTAAGGCCAAGAATCACAGTCTGAAATATCCTCTGAAATTCTTTTTAAATGCCACACTGCGATTGTCCAGAATCAGTTACTGGGCATTCAGTACTTGTAATGCCTTTGATGTGTGGTCAAGCAATTGTGAAAGCAAACCGTCATCTTGATATGGGACAGAGAATAAAACTACGCAGGAGAAACGTCCTGTGGTAACCCATCTCTTAGCAGCTCAAAAACTGTTCTTTAACAAATCCACACATCCAATCTGAGTGATTTTACAGGGTCGCTTATTCATTTTGGAATGAATAGATTACTTCTTTTTATTTAAGGCATTTTTTTTCTCAAAGCTTCTAAGAAAAAAGGAAAAACTTGTGAGGGATCTAGAATTTGGTACTGTTTATTTTTCAATGTCTTGGACAGTGGTTTAAAAAAGTGGAGCTGCAAAGGTGATGTTTCTTGCTTTACCATTTATCAGAATCATACTGTGAAATAATTTTTAAGGGTGTCAAGAGCTTGAGATGAGCTCTATTCTACCCCCTTATGTGTACAAGAAAATACACATGCAAAACTGACTGGTACAAATTCCCTGGTACAAATTCCAGAAAAAATATACTAAAAGACAGTAATGTTGCTGCCCTTGTGGTGTGTGATCCAGCACACGGACCCTGCTACTCCGGATGTGGCAGAATGAGGCATGCCTTACCATAGGGGTTCATGTGGTCGCCTGGCATTTGTGGAGGGGTAAGACCCTGCTGAAATGGGTCTGTGCCATAACTGCTTTGCTCCATTGCTACAATCTGCTGCTGTGGTGGTGCAAGTGGTGTGTAAGATGTCATCATCCCTTCCATTCGGTTGGACATCACTTCTGCAAAGCAAAGAAGAGGCAGAGTCATTGCTGGGGACCAGGGCAGCATTAGTGGCAACACTGAACCTGCGTGAATGCAAGTAGGGGGATCCTGTCAGTCAGAGGAGCTTTACAAATTTTGTCTGAGAGTAGAACCCTGAGCAAATAAGTTAAAGACTTGTAATTTCTGACTACATAATTCCTGGAGCTCCTGGGTGCTGAGCCCTATCCTCCCAAAGTCTGTACTGTGTATGACAGAGCTTAGCTATTCTCTAACTTCTGTTGGTCCCAGTTCTGGCTCTGGGTAAAGAAGAGGATTTAAGACCTTAAGGCCTTGGAAGCTGGAGACCCTCAAGTGTACCCACAGAGCAGCAGGGCATGCCCTGGCACCTCTGTGTGGTGCCTGCCCCAGGGTCCAGCCACCTATGAGGGTACAGGAGGGGCTCCCCATGCCTTGACTGGAGCAGCAATGCTGATACCCTTGCAGATTTCCAGTTGAACATGGTGCACCTTACTGCAGGAGAAAATGAACTGGAGGATCTACCTGGATCAAGCCTCATGGAGATTTCCTCCAGTGGAAGTGCCTCCATATGGCACATTTTTTCTAGAAAGGAGATAACAGCTTCTGTGTGAGCACCTCTGGGGTCTGGCCCCATCAAGGGAACTTGTGGTAACCTGGCATGGGCAGTCAGGCACCTGCCTGTGCGCTGCCACTGCTGATGGCACACCTCACCCACAGACCCGCACATGACCTGGATGGCTGTAAAAAGGTATCATGCAGGAATGGCACTTCTAGACACTTGCAGATTCTTTCCCTCTCACTTTGCTTCAACACAAATCCCCTACCTTGTCCTAGTCGCTGCGAGTTTTGTTGCTCCTGCTGCTGCTGATGCCTTCGCGCTAGCTTTTTCATCTGAAAAAGAGCAGAACAGAACAATCTCATGGTTCTGAACGCAACAATTTTCCTTCCTTGCAAAACTCTCTACGAACATCATTACTGGTAAACACAGACTATTAATACTCATGCACACACTGTTGTGGGTTCAGTTTCAATTCCAAGCTTAAACATTTCAATTTCCCATTCAGATTTGCATGCAAAAGTAACTCCCGACCCTGCCTTGCGTTGCTTTGAGCAACGGTGGCTGTGTTCGCAAGCTGCCTTTCTAGTGTGGATGTAGAGAGCAGTGCAAGGCGGAACCTGCAGAGCTCAGCTATGGGGCCTCAACATTGTGAGCCACATCCGGGGCAAGAGCCCGTGCTGAGGCATAACCTGCATTTGACTTTTGAGAATATGATAAACAACCTACCTTTGCTCTTTGGTTTTGAAACCAGACCTGGACGACTCGCACGCTGAGCCCTGTTTCAGCTGCTAGTGTTTCTCTGACCTGCAGGAGGAAAGGCTTAATGATGCAATTTTTTATATGTTAAAAAAAGCCAAAACAAACCACTAATCAGTTTTGTTAGGATGAACATTTGTACTTACAACAAAAAATTGCATGTATGGAATTACTTTTAAAAATTCCTCATATTTTTGCATAATTTTTTCAAGTTCTGCCCCTGATGTCGCTACCAGTTCCATGAGTACTGAACAGATGGTCTGAGCTGAGGAAAATGATGTTCGGTCATTTCATGGTTTTTATTTTACCCATAAAACAGTTCTGTGCAAAAAGAGCGCTCTGCTCTCACCCCAAGGGAACTGCTGCTGTCTTGGGGAGGGACAGTGGCAGTCTGGAGCTGTGGCCGGGAGTCAGAGTTGACTTGGTCCCTGGTGAAGCACCTACCTTTCTACAGGGCTTGGAAGACACTTCAAAGGATGCTTTGAATGCTCTTCTCTGCTGTGTAGTAAGTATTGTCCTTGGTCGTTTAGGTCTTCTTGGGTCCTTCCCATCATCACTTCCTTTTCCTTGGGTTACTTGGCCTTTGGTGGGCTTAACATCTCCATCTTCATCATCACTTTTAACTAGTGAAAAGCAGGATATATAATTGCACTTGTTCCACCAAGAAAACAGGATGTTTGAGAACTGTTCTTCAGTCAACAGGTTCAACTACTATCCCATGGTTATTTGAATACCTAAATCAGCTGCAGGTAGGAAGAGACTATCTTAGATTTGTGTGCTCTGCCTAAATCAAATGGCACAAAAGCATAAAAACGTGTTCAATTTTTAATTGACAAAGTGGGACTGAAAATGGTATGGAAATTCACAATATGCTTTAATATTTCCAGCAATCAGGCACAGAGAGACTTTATGCCCTTCCAGCATCACTTGGTCCTCTGTGTGCTCACCTGCTCCAACCTCACCACCAGATACACACCTTTCCCTTAGCAGCTGAGCTCCAGCTTCTCCTGAACATTATCTGCAGACAGGTACTACTGCCCTCACCACTACAGCAGCAAAACAGCATAAAGCAAGTACCACACAAATATCTCAAAGCCTGTACAATTAAATAGAGTGCAAATTTCGGTTAGTGTTCTGAGTTTTCAGAAGCTCTAGAAATAATATTAAATATAATCTTTGCCATCTCATTTCCATTTCCCACAGAAAACATCAGTATTCTTCCTCTGTGTCCACATTATAATGTGTCTGGATGTACAAGCACAAACTTCTCTTTCTCTGTAAATGCATACAAGTATCTAGACCAAACAGATTCTTTATATATTCTATAATTAAATTCTGAATGTTCATACAATTCTGGTGATGCTACATGTGTTAGTATATTGTCCTGGGAAATCTCAATTGCAGTGGCAAAGGTTGAAGGGTAAGTACAAATTTGTTGTGAAAATCAACCTTTTAAGTCAGCACATTTTATTTGACCAGACTACTGATTTTTCTTCCAGAAAACATTATCACATTATTATAGGGATTTCAACATGAAGAAGCCCACTGACATTTTTATATGCTGAAAGATTACATTTGGGGAATCAACAAATTAGACTTTAATTCATTTTAGGGTCCGATTATTATGCACCTAGCAGTCTAATCACCTTTTACTTTAATAAGCATCTTTGGCCTAATGATTAAAGAGAAGTTCAGTCATTTTAATAACCATGACATTATTAACTTTCCAGCATGCCATTTCTAAGGAAAGGTTTGTGAGGATTACTTCTGCTCATAGGAGAGTACTTTTGTGTCCAGTGGATAAATATTTGATTGAAGAAGGACACATTCTCAGCCAGGGTTCTGCAGATCGTGTGCTCTCATGCAGGCTCCTGGGAGATCAGTGTTTTCAGTGTGTTAGACAATGGGAGACAAACAGCCTATTTAACTTGTCAGCTCGTTTTTCAGGTTTGGGTTTGGCAAACAGAGAGTAATGAGGGAAAAAAAGCATCTCTGGGAGTAAGAAAGTCCCCCCTGTGCCAAAGGGAAATGAAATTGAAACCAAGGCTGGTTTGTGCTACCGTGGTTGCTCACCACTGATCACAAACCAGATCTGATTGTGAAGAGGAGCCCACCCCACCCAAAGCTGATGTCAAACAGCTGCCAGTGCTGGCATGTATGGGAGGACGTTTGTGCCCAGCCCCAGCGTGGGGATGGTCCAGCTCCAGCTGCTCAAAGGGGTTTGGCTGGACACAGGGCAGGTGCACAGCAGGATGCTGGAGGTAGCGGGTGGAATGACACGGTGATAGGCGAGGAGGAAACTCCCATGCCTTGGGCATATTCACCAAGAGCTGAAACTCTGTGATGTGAGATTTACTGAGCAGAGACTCGAGGGTCCTGCAAACACAGTATGGTAATAACTGACACATAATAATAATATAATTATTGTTATAATAATAACAATAACTGTTCCAAGAATAATCCTGGTCCCATGCACTGCTGAGGCTGCAGAGATCTTTTGCTTGTGCCATTCCTGACACAGAAATACAAATTTCAGCAAAGTGAAGAATATGGCTCTCAGATTAGAGAATAAGGATTATTTCTGCTCTAAATGGAGCTAAAATGGAGTAACACATTTTCCCATAAATCAGAGGTAAACATTCACGTCATAACGACATTTAATGGAATGGTAACTATTGATTTTCTTACACATTTTCTTGGAAAACAAGTGTGCCATTATGATGGCACAAACCAACATCTCAGTTTCTTTGAGACTCTCTTCAGTGCTTCTGTGTTGTAATTTTTCTTAAGGGTATCATTTGTGATTGGCAGAGAGAATCCTCTCGAGAATCATACTACTGCTGTGCCTATTTCCCTAGCTCAGTGCTGGAAGTGGATGTGCAGAAGATCCCCTGAAAAATACGTTAATGGATGGAAGAATGCCTATGGAGAACAGCATACTGAGGACACACTTGAGTGAGACCTCAGGTAGCTGAAGTCAGTCTGATTCCTGTTTTATGATCTTGTAGAAAAACACTTTGATGAAATAAAAGGGTTTTGTCCTTTACTAAGCAGCAAGTTAAGGAAGGGAATCAGATCAGGGAGAGCAGACTGCGAGCAGGGATGTTTTTAGCTGTGCCTGTGAATTTGCATAGGTGGTATGTGCATACAGACAAAGGGGATGTGCAAATGGATCTTCTCTATAAGAAAGCCACACAAACTTATGCAGCTTTTCCAGTCAGAGCAGGTGGGGGAAAAGCTCACCTGAGTCTGAGTCGTCTGGACTGACCGAGCTCAACAAGTCCTTCTCTTTCTCATAGTCACTTTTGCAGAGCAGCTGCCCTTCCTTGAGGACAAACTCATCCCCTTTCCTCAGCTGGCGCTCGCACACGCAGCAGCAGAAGCAGCTTAGGTGGTACACGCACTCCAGGGCTCGCATCACGAACTCTGTCGGGGCGATCTTCTCCATGCAGCCGCTGCACTTGGCGGCAAACAGCCTGCAAGAAAGAGGTACCACAGTCAAAAGGAGTGTCAGATGCGTGGATCTAAGTCCAGCAAAATCTGAACAGATCAGCCTGGCTCATGCTCCTGCACGCTGTGAGACTCGTGTCCTTAGGCTTGGAAACATCACAGGCATGCAATTTATTCCAATCTCAATCTCTTTGGTCTTGAGATTCCCCAAATCGCCTTTGCTGGATAAAGCCCACTAAGATCTGTCCTTATCACAATATTTTTTTTCCTCTTCAAAATGAGAAACAAAAGGAAGCTCCCAGAGTTGGATAACTTGCCCAAACCCAAATGTATTTTAATTTACCTTTTAGAGAAAGGGCCAGCACATGCTTTGGTTTATGCAGGCTCTCTGGTTTCAGCACTTAAACCCTTTTCTGAACAGATTTCATGGCTTTCCATTTTTGGTATTGTCTGTCTCTGAGGACACTGGTAAACGAACAGAGAAATGAGCAGGAAAACTCAGTGCTCTGGCTGAGGCGAAGCTGATGCACGCACATGCAATTGCACACATGCAATCGATAAAGAGAGGAGTGCAATAAGAAGGCTTTTCTTCGGATGTTGAGTTATTCCAGAACAACCTGTCTCTGAAGGGAATACTGTGCATTTTAAATGGTGTGAAACATCCTTTGGCAGAGATAGGCAGTGATACAATCTGCTAAATTACCACTATAATCACAGACTCTAGAGCACACACTGTATCCAGACTAGTTCTTACTAAACCTCTATAAACCTCCTCTTTCATCCATCATTAATTTTTAAAGATAAAGTTAGAATTATTTAGATTAATTTTATTTTGCTTCTCTAATGTCAGCTGGGAATCTCCCTAAGTGAGCTTTTCAGAAGAGGGCTGCCTCAAATAAAGACAAATCGCTAAGTTACGTCCCTGTGTCACACAGTGGGCTGGTGATTTGAAATTCAGTGTCTTTTATGGCAATACATCACAGTGCAAGGTGTGTGAACATTTACATTTCAGCTAGGCAGTGAACACAACTGCACTCATGTGCTCACAGGAACAAAACTATATTCTGCCTTTTAGCGCAGGGTCCACTGATCTTCCTTCTTCATCATCAAAAATATAATTTTTTACAAAAAAAGGCAATTTGCTTTGATTTTAGAAGACAAGAGACTGTAGCAGTTACTCATTCCTCCAGAGCCTCCATTTTGTCTGAGCTGAGAAGTGCAGGAAAATGGCAGTCATGAGCCCTCAACAAAGGACTGGAGTCAGAGTGGGCAGAAGGGAAAAGCAAATGACAGTGTGGTTGCACACAGCATTCAGTGAACATCTGAGAGATGGGAACTGGGGGGGTTCCCCAGCTGTATTAAGGAGAGATTGCACTGGGAGCCTGGCTGGCTCAGTGCACACCTTTGTACAACCACAACCTCAAGGTAACAGCTGTGCAAGGTGGACTGAGCGGTTTGTTTTCGGGGTATATAATGAATTAACTCAATCAAAAGGAAACTAATGCCACGTAGAACCCTCGGGCACTGCCACGAACAGGCTGGCTTATTTCATACACTCGGTTGGCTTTGTCCGCAAGGTTTTCCTTACAATACTTTGGCCAGCAAATTCCTAAGCAGAAAATATTTTTATCTCTACACAATAACATATCTGAAAGGATTAACACACAGAGAAGAAGAAAAAAAAAAAAAGGAGCACTGAAAAAAGTTGTTTCTATTTAACTGCTTAAACCTGTTTGACTCCTTTAACCAAACCTGGCACCTCCGTCCCAGGGGTGTCCTTAGGACGGGGCGTACCTGGAAACCCCAGGACTGGCAGGGCTGGTGCGAGGGCGCAGTCCCCCCGCACCTACGCTCGCCCGCCTCTGCCGGGGATGGGAAGCTGCCGGGAGGGTCGGGGCGGCCCCGACGTGCGGATGCCCCGCTGGGACCGGGACGGCGGCGGCTCCACAGCCGTTCGCGTGTCCCGTCAGCGCCGCTGGGCTGGGAAACGTTCAAAAACGGACTCCAGGGACCCCGTCCCACCGCCCATCGCCGGGGGCAGGTGCCCACCTTCCCACCCCAGCGAGGGGAGAACGGGGAGCCTTTCCCGGGAGGGGTGTGCGCCGGGGGGCGGCGATGCCGCAGGAGCACACGGGTGGTGCGGGCTTGGCCTTGGTGGGGCTGTTCTCAGCTAGGGCCGTGATCGCCCCAGGTAGGGCTGCGGCTGCCTCCGGTTTTTTCCCAAGCAAACCACACAATGTGCTACCATCCAGTGACAGTGACAACATAGATGTTAACATCGTTTACAGATAATTTCTAAGAGGAAAGCCCAGGAAAGCATAAATACCTCGTACCTTCTCTCTACCTGAGACATGACAATAACCTCCTTGTCCTGTGGAGTTTCCCTGAGCAGCACCCTCGCTGTCATGCTGCCTTACTGAGTGTTTGGGTTTTTAAATTTTTCTTCAAAATAAAAATGTCTAACATGAACCAAAAATATTTTGTGTTATTTACTGGCAATTGACTAAGCTGATGTTTTTGCAACAGTGCTTCCCAAGGCAGCCTTTTAGCTATAACGAATTACGCTGTTATCAGGGTACTATTAACTCATTCAAATTAACATTAAATTGCCCTGACAATACTGCGAGGACTTCATATCTTGAATTTGCTCACTGTCAAGGAAATTCCCTCCTCTGTACACAGGTATTCTCTGCACTATAATATGCACTACACACACAGAGAGGACCTTGTTGGATTGAATTCTGAGATTATAAAATCTTCATTACATCTATCTTATAAATCGTTTATAGATATTTTTTCAGCTTCCCAAGAGGAGCCCAAGGTTATGCACTCTTTTTGCACAAGGCAATCTCACAACAGGAAACTAATCTTGACAAATGACCAGACTTTGATAGCTGTGATCTAAACCACTGCTCGTTAGACTGTTCATTTTATAAACGAACGGTAATAAACCTGTTGGGAAGTGTAGGATAGCAGGAATACTTTACAGATCACCCCTTTACAGGTTTCAATCAAAGCCATAAATTTTAAGTGGAGCACACAGATATTCTGTGCTTAGACAAAGCCTCTGTTCCACAGCAACCACATTTAAAGGAATATTTCTTTTGCTTTCTATACATTTTACAAATAATTTGCATAACTCAGGCTTTTTACCCCCATGGCTGATTATCTCCAGACCTCTTAAGTTAATGTCAAACCTCAAAATCCTTGGACTTGTAAAAGTATGTGGAGAGTGGAAATCAAATGCCTTTATTAGAAGCCCCAGGAAATCTCTGACTCCTAAGCACAACGAAAACATTCCAAAGAAAATTGTTCAAAGAGGACAAAGCAGAAAAGCAGAACAAGAAAACCTTGTTTTGAATCAACGACTGCAGAGTTTTATAAATAAATTCTGTTGCCTGGACAATTTTGAAAGACAACTCAATAGGTTTAGGAGTTTTTAAGTGTGTTTGCCTCTATGCCTGGAACACTTGTGGGATTCAGCCAAGCTAAAGCTTGGAACAATGGCCTGTCTGTCCATTGGAGTATCTACAATAAATGCTGTGAAGCAACTTTACAGTATTAGATAATCAAAAAGTCTTTACCAGCTAAAACTGGGTGAACTTAAATTAATTTGTATCAGGGGCAATGCAAATGCTAAGACATGTGTTCCTGTCTTTAAACAGTAGATGAAAATGTTCACCAGCGGAAGAGGCCATAAAGATTTTATTTGTTAGGATATCCCTGTGAAGTCAGGCTGAATCAGTAATCCTTAAAAACAACCACAGTTACATGATCCACTGTGCCTTCCTGCATGGCACAGCCATCTGGTGTGCAACATGGACCCCTGATTTATTATCTCTCATGCAGTTATCTCACAGTAAGTTTGACCCTGCTTTGCTCCTGAGAATCACGGCTCTGCTGTTTACTCTCCTGGTGTTCTGACAACTTACCCTTTACCTTTCTATGGCTCACCCAGGTCCTTCATTTCCTCCTGTCTGTGGGCAAATAGATTTTAATTGCTTTATTATAACTAATTTAATCTGTGCTGAGAGACCTCCATGTGCAGTGTGAAATTTGCTGTTCACATTAAGTGTGGTTCAAGAGCTTTGTTATACAGGACAGCAGCAGAAAAATAGACTAATTCAGACAGGTTGTTTATTTACTGGGCCTCTGCCATAAAGCAGTAAATAGGAAGTTATTAAGCCGTGTTTGATATATGCAAGAGGACAGATGCTGCTGCCTACCTATCAGAGACCTTCAATCATTTCCCTTTCTGCATTATTCTGACATTATGTGTTGCAGGAATCACAGTAAATACCTGGCATTTCTTTATTTAATAAATATGCAAAGATGGTGGTTGCGAGCTTTTGTGAATACTGTCAGTGTGGTCTCTAGCTCTGATGCTTTTCCCCCTGCTCACACCCTCCTGGGACACCCCTCTCAGCCTGTTCTGCCACCAGGAACTCGTTCTGCACTCCTGTGGCACCAAACAGGGTAGAGCTGAAGTAAAATATATTACGCTTTTCACACAATTGAGTTTTATTAAGAGAAGAAATTAAATTACTAATGAAAGACATATGTTACTTGTTCTTTGGGAGAAATTTTAATATTTCTTTCTTTAGATGACATAGAATGGGGAAAACTCTACGCGTGGGCCTTTTCCAGCCCAGCACTTGAACATTTTTGTAGCATCTTACAGCTCATGGGTGCTTACAAAGAGCAAAAACTGTTGCTTGGTTACATTCAATTCTGTACATTCAAAACATTTCAAATGCCGTAACGCAAAACAGAAATATTATAATTTTATGATTTGAAAAAAAACCTCTATCCTTAAAAAAGAAACATTCCATTTAAAATATTTTCCCTGCAGAAGAAATAATTACGTAGTTTATTAAAGCCAATTTCATAGCTGAAACTTCAGTAGAAGAAAGCTAATTCCCTTTCACCGAGTAGTAATAAAATGCGCAAAAATTAAAAGCTTCTAGGAAAAATATTGTAATATTTAGAAAGAAACTAAAACAAAGAAACCTTTTTCTTCTTCAGG